TAGTCTCTGATCCTGTCTTCCCCATGCACCAGCTAGGGTGCAGATTGTTGCCCCTTGCTTCAGAAGCAGGTGTTTGGGGAAGGACATCTCAGCTCTGACTTCATCAGTCATGAACCAGAAGGTAATGGAAGGTTGGGAAGCACATTACCAATTTCTTCACAAATCTCCTAGAACCCACCTCCAGAGTCCGTAGTGGAGCCACCAGACTTAGACAAGCAAAGAAGACACAGCTTCTATTCAAGACCGGTCCTTCTGTACCCTGTAGTCCAACATGGCAGGACCTGACTTCCCTTCCCAATGCCATTTTTACCACTTTACAAATATCTCTACTACTGTTACCTTTACACCTTTTTAAAAATTATTTCATGGGAAAGTCAGATATACAGAGAGGAGAGATAGAGAGGAAGATTATCTGTTTGTTGATTCACTCCCCAACCAACCGCAACAGCCGGAGCTGAGCCAATCCAAAGCCAGGAGCCCAGAGCCTTTTCCGGGTCTCCCATGTGGGTCCAGGGTCCCAAGCCTTTGGGCCATCCTTGACTGCTTTCCCAGGCCACAAACAGAGAGCTGGATGGGAAGCGGGGCTGCCAGGATTAGAACCAGCACCTGTATGAAATACAGGCGCATGCAAGGTGAGGATTTTAGCCTCTAGGCTACCACATGGGGCCTGTCACCTTTACTCCTAATGCCCTTGATGCTTCTAAATGTGAAGATGAAACTCCTTTCATTCTTAAAACCACCAACCTCGTTTGGGCTTTCTCTTTAAGCTGCACCCTGTTTTCCTGCCCTTCATCTTTCCCATTCATCAAAGACTAACTGAAATGTAGGGCATCGATGTGCCTCTTCCATTCCACACTCAGATTCAGAAGCACCTTGTCTGTCTGCTGCATCCATTTCCCTCACACCTCTCCTTTGACCTTCCACATCCTCCCAGGCCAAACAGATACCTACAGTGTCAGTACCCAGAGAAATGACAAGTAGCTCATGAATGTTCAAATTCATTTCCAACTTGAAACTTCCCTTAGAGCTACCAGCTTCTCACCTGCAGCTGCCTTTCCTTGGGTTTATGATATGGTTCCTACACTCAAAGGCAGACTTCCACAATATAAGCCCAAAGTCTTGTATTAATAGTACTAAGAGGGTGGGATTTAATCAAATGATGGTGTTTGGGAGCTGGGTGTAGTAGAAGTCCTTGGGCTATTGGGGGTATTCCTTTCTGAAAATTTTTTTTGTTTTGGTTTTTTCTAAGATTTATTTATTTTTATTGGAAAGTTAGATTTAGTGAGAGAAGGAGAGGCAGAAAGATCTTCCATTGGTTCACTCCCTAGGTGGCTACATTGCTGGAGCTAAGCTGATCTGAAGCCAAGAACCAGGAGCTTCTTCTGGGTCTCCCACGTGGGTAGAGTCTCAGGCTTTGGTCCATCCACTACTGCTTTCCCAGCCCACAAGCAGGGAGATGGATGGGAAACAGAGTAGTTGGGACATGAACTGGCATTTATATGGTATCCTGGCACATGTAAGGTAAGGACTTAACCACTAAGCTATTGCACTGACCCCTGAAAGCAGTTCTTACAACAGAGTTGTCTGTAAAGGCCAAGTTGGGTCTAGCTCCTCATTCTGTTTTCTGGCTGTGCAATGTTCCCCTTTCTGTGCAATGCTCCATCTATCCAGAGGATGAGTCAAAGGGGCCTGCTAGATCTTGTGACTCTTTAAGACATACGTGAGAATAAAACCATCTTTCTCGGTAAGATGCTTATCGTGGACATTAGCCTATAGTGACAGCAAGGTCAATAATACACTATTGGACTCTGTTGTCCAGGTGTTTCCTAAGCATCGCAGATTCATTTCATGTCAGAAAATTCAGCTTGTTTCCTTTGAACTCTTCTTTCTTCTGCCTGAGTCTAGTAGGTAAAGGGAGCATTAGCCAACTGTTCATCTGAGGGAGAAAGAACTGCAGTCATTCCTAGTCAGGCCAAACATAACACATCAGGGTGTTTATGGCTCATTAAAGCACTGTTGATTCATGCTTTAGTAAAGGTTCCTTTGTGTTCCTCTACCATCAGTTTATGAATCCTTTGAGGACAGGAATAACATTTCAGTGATTTTTCTATCTGCAGGAATTCTCTTCCCCAGCACAACACTCGGTAAGCTAGTCACTGACTTGGCAAAGGTTCAGCAAGTATGGTCTGGAGGAAGAAAAAAAGTAATGATCCGAATCATCAAAATTTGGTGGAAGAGTAATTTCAGTGAATCTATTGGATGTCTGCAGAAAAGCCAGAAATGATAAGTGGATTTTCAACAAAGTGGTAGTTCATCAGCAGCAAGGATAAGAACGGGTCAAGGTCAGCAGACAACAAGTCCTGCTTGGGAGGCCCATGGAGTGGGCATTTCAAAGTGCTTGGGACTGAGTCCTCCTGCCTTTACACTCAATTTACCCTCCTACTAATGTGTATCCCGGGAGGCAGCAGATGAGGGTTCAAGTACTTGGGCTCCCTCCATAGACGATCCAAATTGACTTCATGGCTCTTGACTTTGGCCTGGCCTGGCCCTGACTGCTGTGGGCATCTGGGGAGTAAATTAAGGGATGAAAGGTCTCTCTCTCTCTCCCCTCCCCATCCTCTGGTGCTCCTTTAAGCCAATAAATAAACTTTCAAAAAAAAAAAAGAATAAAAATGCTGACATTCTTCTAATGTTTTTTCTCAATATAATTGCATGTATAATAAAATTTATCTATTGCTTAGACAAGAGCAATATGCATATTTTCCTTCACATTTCTTAGTGATATCTCCCGGAAAACACTTGCTAGTGATGTAGCGTGACAGTTCCCATTCGTACAGCACTCCTTCATAATGCTTGCTGTGGATGCATGAGACTATGCACACAGTCCCCAATTCATAAACATGTGCTTAGTTTTTGAGTTCCTCCTATTCAGGGCTGCATCCTACCCCCCAGGCACAGTCCTGTCAGTCTGCTTCTGCTAAGGAGTCCTCGGGTGGGACTACTAAATCAAGCAATCAATGCATGTGAGATCTACACACTCGCCCCTCTAGTAGAAGCCACATTTCCTTGCAGCCACACAGGTAGAGTATGTTGTCAAAGTTCAGGATTCCTTTGTTTAATCCTTGTGATATTGCTTCAGTATTTCTTATTAATAAACTTGGCTGTCCTGTACGTGAGTCAAAAGCAACTTCACATGCAGGACACGGCAGTCACATAGCAAGAAACTAGGTTTCTCGGGAACAGCAAAGTCAGGTAAAGCCAAGAAGAGTGAGGATAAAGGAAGAGATAAGGAAATGCTGGCTGTAACAACTCAGGCAGTTCTCAGGAGTGCAGCAGCCCCAAAGTTAACTGCCGGTATTTGCTCCTGTATTCCTGCTTGCTTGCCCAGTGTTAAAAATAGCTCACCCCATTTCCCTAGAAAAAAATGGAGAGAGGACGATCGGGGCCCAGCCATTAATACGGTGATTCAGGCTGGTGTCCCCAGGAGGCAAGAAAGCTTCTTCCTTTCCACACCTGGCTCTCCAGTCTCTAGTGGTCAATTTCCACAACAAGAATTGGAGTAAAGAAAGCAACATGTAGAAAAACGGGTATATTTGCTGTGTATGCATTTTCAAAAATGCTTCACATTTCAGATTTAAGAATACCTGCATATACATAATGAGATATACTGGGGAAGAAAGTGAAGTTTTACATGAATTTGGACAATGCCTCATATCTACCTTTCACATAAGGCCTGAAGATAATTTTACAGACTATTCCTAACTTGTGTTTTGACCGTGAGTTGCCATGTGAGGTAAGGAGGGGAATTTTCCACTTGTGGCACTGTGCACCTGGTACTCAAAAAGTGTCAGGTTTGTGGGGGAATGGGCATTTTAAGATGCGTGCTATGATGCCTGAATCCTGCATCAGAGAAGGTGGGCTTGAATACTGGCTCTGCCTTCTGATTTCAGCATCCTGTCACTGCAGTCCCTGAGAGATGTCCCTGCCGCTCACATAACAGCCCTGGCTTCAGTCTGATCCGGCCATAGCAACTACAGGCATTCGGGGAGTGAACCAGCACCTGCCTCTGAAATTAAACATGCAAATGTTTCAGATTTTACAACAATTTAGGTTTCAGATTGCTGGATTAGAGAGCCTTGAAGTACAAATTCATTTTAAAAACTAATAAAACCTACACATGTGCATAAGTCTCTACAATGATATATGATTATATTCATAGAAGAAGAAAATATGCAGGAATTAACAGCAATCTGGTGAGCTGTCTGTGATGGATTAGGGCTCAGTCCCCACTGTATCACCGTGCGTGTGCCTTCTGCAGTGCAGAAGATGCAAAGTGAGGAACGATGTGCCTGGCAGCCCACAGCGGAGCAGACGCATTGAATGAGACAAGGGAGGAGAAAATGTGGTAGCGGCCATGAGCAGGCTGCCTTGGCAGTACCGGTGGACAGGCACCCTCACTCGGACCTTTGCCCAGTGAGCTCCCCTCCCCATCCAGTCCCCTGCTTCATGAATATGGACATGCAGGGCATGGGTATTCATTTTTCTAGCATGGATCTAGCAGGTACAGTGTAGTTGTGGAGCCAATTCTGTTCTGTCACTGTCCCCTGCCCACCTTCGGAGGTGTGTGCCTATAACCAGCAGGGGGCAGTGATTCCCCATGGGGTTCCGAGACTCATTCTTGCTGGCTCAGCCTAGACCTTGCTCTTTCTCAGAGTACCCATTTCCTTCTGCCAAATGCCAATCTGCTTAAAATAGCTTGGATTTTGCTTTCTGAAATAAAAACTATGTGATTCAAAGGGTTATCAGACCAGGAGAGTAGCAAAAAGGAACTATGGGACCTTCAACATGAAGACAAGAAAGGTGCCTTTTGAACAGCTGTGGCATTGTTCTTAATTATAATGTCATTTAAACTCATCTCCAGTCTCAACCAGGCAACTGCTGTGCAGAGAAGTTTCAAAGGGCACTCCACTATGGAGCTTCTCTGAGGCAAACAGACTCACCAGCGGGTGTGGCAGGGGATTTGGGTGCAGGCAGCAAACTCCTGCGGGGTGTTGGCACACTGGAGGATGTTGTAGGAGCCGCCCGGCTGTTCCCCTTGGGTGCATCTTTTGAAGGCAGAGCTGACTTCAGGCCTGGTTGTTCTTCATTAGCAAAGGTTGAACCTGTGGGAGGGAGGCAGACAGCATGTGAATTATAACCGCATGAAAAATAGATGGGCCTCCTCACCAGGGAGACTTGCCCACCACGCTTCATGATGCCATCTGCCTTTGAACTTGAGTTGTTGCTTAAAAATCTTATTTATTTTGAAAGGGTTACAGAAAGGAAGGAAGGAAGGAAGAGACAAATATCTTCCACTCTCAGTTCACTCCTCAGATGGCCACAAGGACCAGTGCTGGGCCAAGTCAGAGCCAGCCGTCAGGAGCTTTATGGGTGTGTCCCACAAGGATGCAAGGGCTCAAACAGGTAGTCTGTCTTCTGCTGCTTTTCCTGGACAATTAGCAGGGAACGGGTCGGAAGCGGAGCTGCTGTGACAGGAACCAGCGCCCATGTTGGATGATGGCATCACAGGTGGCAGCTCCACTTGCTATGCCATCATGCTGGCTCCAGAACTTGAATTCTAAACTTAAGTGGCCTTGAAAAATAATCCTCTGCAACAGCACAGGAGAAGAACTCTCTTTGGTCATGGCATGGATGTCTAGCACTCAATTCTCCACAGAGAAGGGCGTTCTACACAGAACAGAACTGTGCTCTGAAATTGTACCTAGGCACACATACACACAGTCTGTTGATGTGTGCGCAGTTGCATATGGATGTGATGTACACGTACTTGAATACTTTCATTAAGTAGTCCTTTCCGCCCCCAGATATGCAGTGTCAGTTACACAGAGAAGTGAGCACAGAAATGCTGCTGAAGTCAGACTGGGTCCAGGCCCTGCAGAGGCATTCAAACCTTCAGATACTCAAGTTTCCTACATAAAATGTTGTAACATTTGCCTGAGGCCTTTGTAATCCTTCTCTATGTTTTAAATTATCCCTAGTTGAACTCTAACACTTAATGCAATGCCAATGCCATGTCAACAGTTCATGAGAATATTGAATATTATTCATGGAATAATGACAAAGGAAATGGACTGTTACCTATTCAGTACAAACGCAGCTGCTTAAAAATTCATCTGTGATCTCAGGTGAGCTGAAAGTATGCAGACGCAGAGCATGTGGGAATAGACAGCAGCTGTGCATCTGCGGGCCACTGGCCTAGGAAGTGAGCTTGGAACTCTCAGAAACCCAGCTCATTTTACCTCCAGAGTGACAGGTGTGTGAGGAAGACAGAAGGGCAGTGAGCATGGAGATAGAGTCCCCCAGATCCTCACCAAACTGGGAGGACCTCAAACTTGAGCCTCATTTATTTCAAAGGCAAAAGACAATTATGGACAACTGTAGGTTACTTCTCAACATACAGGTAGGACTGCCAACTGCTTGGACACCCTGAAAAGAAGGTACATGAGGGTAAGTGTCTGGGTCAGATTTACACGGGAAAAGCTGGTGTGGCCCAGACTTATTTTTCTCTCCCCTAAATGCTTATGGTTTGTTGCATTGTCTCCAAAGAAAAGTATATTGAGGAAGGGAAAAGAATGTACTATTCCCTAATGCAGGCCTTAATCTTGTTCTGTTAGGATCTGTGTGAGGTTCTTAATAGTTCCAGCTAGTACAAAGAAAGTGAACTTGGCCTCTGCAAACAGAACAAATCATGAAACTCCCTTGAAGGGATTGGCACTATATTCTGAATGTCAGGAAAAAAACAAAAACAAAAAAAGCATGCACATGTTTGATCCAGGGAAAGTGACACCAGGAGGAGCTTGGAAAACACTGACTCATCAAGTGAGCTAACCAGAGCCTCTCTGGAGTCTGCCACAGCTCTGATACAGGCAGCCAAGACTCAGCCCCTGGAGGTTTCACAAAATTACCTAATGTCTGGCCTCCAGCTGCCAGGCTGCCAGGGTAACCTCTTCTCTCACATGTATGCTAGAAGCTGAACTGAGTGCAAAACCTTTCACAGTCTTTTACTTCACAGTTTGTCACAATTTCTTAAAGAGAAAAAACATTTTGTATCACTTGCAGAGTTCAAATATCTTTTGATCAAACACTCTTGTATCTGGCATCATTGTCTCACATGCAATTCATTATTCATGTGACCCGTCAATTTAGAGATCTGGCTGTTTGGCTGGGAACCAATTCATGTACCTGTAATACAAGTGTCAAAAAGCTAGGAATTCCCCTCTGATGGAAGGCTTGAATTACCCACAAACAAAATAATGGAGAACTCTTTTTTTTTTTTTTTGTCCATTAAGGCGGGAGAGTGTTCCACACTTTGAAGACCAACTGAAAATAACCAGTAATTAAAGACACATCATTCAGCAACTAGAAAAACACTCAGCACTTGGAAATGACTGTGGAAGTATTTACATGCTCCAAACACCTTGCAACAATGCTGACAACATAAAACCAACTACTTGATAAGAGAAAGGAAACAACTAGAAATAAACTGCTTGTGTGGACCAGGAAAAGTTTTGGAGAACAGAGACCATGGGAAGTAATTCCCAGGGCCAATTCAGACAGCTCAGTGGCAATCCACTTCACCCAGGGCAGGGATGGGGGGCGGGGAGGCAAGCAGTCTGCCATGACATTTGACCATGCAGCCACAGAAGCATCTGCAAGGGGGTTAACAGTGCAGATGGCCAGGTGTGAACACCACTGCCTCTACCTGCCACCTTTCTTTATTCCTAAAAGGTGAGGAGGGAGGGGGAGAAATGGGAGGGAGGGGGAGAGATAAAGAAAGAATGAATGACTGAATATCTTCTCTCTGAGGGTCTGCTCCTCATATGCCCAAAATATATGGCTTTTGGGCCAGACCAAAGCCAGGATTGGGAAACACAGTCTGTGTCTCCTAAGGAGACGGCAGGGTCTCAAGTACTTGAATTATCATCTGCTGCCTTCTAGGGTGCATGTTAGCAAAGAAACTGTGGTGGAACCAGAGGCAGGACTTGAACCCACGGACTCTGGCAGGGGATGTGGCCATCACAAATGACATTTTACTAGTATACCAAATGCCTGCAAAAAGAGGTTTTTCAAAGAAAAGAGGTCTGTAGAAGATAAGCAAAAAAGTTATTAATAATATAATAACATTAACAGCCAAATCCTAGTAAACAATGTCACAGATTTTGAAGATACATCCATATTATAAGAGGCACTCTCTTCACTGAGTTTTTTTAATCCTAGGCAATCAACTTGCACAATGCTTTGCTGCATGATTGCCTAATTGATGAATATTTCATTGATTTCATGGCATTTATCACTTGGTTACAAAATTTAGTTTAATTATTCAAGTATCAACTGAATGTTTTATTTCTTAAACTTCTGCATATTTTAACCCAGGCATCTACTTTCCTTTTCACCTTAAAGAGATAACGTAACACTGTTACCTTGTCATTTTCACAATTTCTTTTTCAAAATAAAATATCTGACTAAGGAACTTTGGGAGTCAGAAGTGGTGCTGTGGCATACATGTTAAGCTTTTTACCTGCAATACTTGCATCCCATATGAGTGTCAGCTTGAGTCCCGGCTGCCCACTTCCATCTACCTCCTTGGTAAGGTGCCTGAGAAGGCGATGGAAAAAGGCCCAATTCCTTGGGCCCCGCACCCACATGGGAGACCTGGAAGAAGCTCCTGGCTTTGAACTTGTCCAAATTCTACCATTGTGGCCACTTGGGAAGGGAACCAGTAGATGCAAGACCTCTCCCCTCCTTGTCTCTATCTCTTTCTGTAACTTTGACTTTCAAATACATAAAACTAATCTTTTAAAAGTAAATAAAGAAAACTCAGGTTCAGGAGACAATGGTTAGATGGAAAGTGTGAAAGTGGAATGGTGATAGCCAAGAGTGAAGAGAAAGCTTCAAAAAGGTGGCTTAAGCAGAAAAAAGCCTCACTGTAGGCTTTTGGACTTTAAGAAATCCTTCCATTGTCCACGGAAAGACGGGCAGGTGGCTGGTGATATCTTAGGCAGGGTGCTAAGCTTCAGCAGCAAGGGGAAGGAAGCCTCTAGTTTCGAGAGAAATTTGCATTTATGTGAATGCATCCATTTTCAACACTCCTGAAAGACACACATTCGCTAGCAGTGGTCAATGTCATGGTGACGTGTCCAGGCAAAGGACAAGAGAGAAACACAATCCACAGTGACCAGAAAGCGACACACATCTTAACAGGTGTCAATACAGAGCAAGGCAAGCTCAGGCCAGAGACACCTGGGATAGTATTATTTATCAGAGACATCCTAAGCAGCTTGTGACAGGTAGGATTTGTCTTCGTAAAAATAGCGAAACATTGAGAAGAGATGGTGAGAAAAGACCCTTATGGCTTTTGCACTACAGAAGTGGATGGAGTTTGTGTCGGACCCGATGACCTCCGGCAGGACCTGGAAGAGGGTGTAGAACTGGCACATCACCAGGGCAACAGAGCCCTGGCGGACCAATGACACACTCAAGCAAGCATTTCCTCTCCTGATAAGGACCGGTGGAGAGGCACCCATTCTGGCTGACGCTTCAGGAGAGGTGTAAAAGCCTCCTGCACCCTTCTTTGCACGTCTTTTTCATTCCTGCCTTCTGTCCCCGCTACTCACTGCTTTCTCTCTACCTCTACATTGCGCAGAGAAAAGGCCTAAGAATGGACCTTACTCCAATAAAGGCCTCTTGTCAACAGTCAGCCAAGGTTTTTTTCTTTCCCTGGTGGTCAGCAAACTGTACAGATCCTGCATTTAGTGAAGAAGTCCGGTTTGATCAAAGAGTACATCAGGAGAGAATAAAGGAAATTCTAAGGGAAGGACAGAAGCGGTGAATAATGGCAGAAGGCCCCAAGTGACGGAAGCCGTGTTTGGTTTGCTCAGCACTTGGAAACCTCCAAAGGTTGTGAACAGATCAGAAAATCACAGCAAAATAATGAAACTTGGCAAGAAACAAGAATGTCAGGTGCCCCTTCTCTTGTGTAGCCCAGCTCATGTGGTATTTCACTTCTGCTCCCCTCTCAGCCACTTCTTGCTTATTCACCTTCGGGAAGCAGTGTTTGAGGCCAGCACTGTGGTGCAGCACGTTAAGGCACTGTCTACAACAC